TTAGCATAGATCACTGAATCCGATTAGACCGTTAGCATCTCGCTCAAAAATGACCAAAGCGTTTCTATATTTTTCCTATTTAAAACTTGACTCTTCTGAAGTTACATTTTAAAACTTGACTCTTCTGTAGTTACATCGTGTACCAAGACCGACGGAAAATGAAAAGTTGTGATTTTCTAGGCCGATATGGCTAGGAACTATACTCTCATTCCGGCGTAATAATCAAGGAGCTTTGCTGCCGTACCATGTGTGCAGCAGGCGCAATGATATTATATTATATAGTTCCTAGCCATATCGGCATAGAAAATCGCAACTTTTCATTTTCCGTCAGTCTTAGAACACGATTTAACTACAGAGTCAAGTTTTAAATAGGAAAAATATAGAAACTCTTTGGTCATTTTTGAGCGAGATGCTAACAGTCTAATCAGATTCAATGATCTATGCTAAGCTACAGCTAAAAGTGCTACCGCTAGACCCGGAGATCGGCTGAATGGATTCGAAAACGGTAAAACTCAACTGTTTAACTCTAGGGGAGTTGGAAAATTAGCCTCTTTTAAAAAATAGTGGGGTGTTCCTTTAAAGTGATAGTTCACCCAAAAATGAACATTCTGTCGTTATTTCCTCCCCCTCATGTTCTTCCAAACCTGTAGGACTTTCAGTCTTCCGTAGAACACAAAATGAGAAGTTTAGTGGAATGTTCATGCAGCTCCTTTCCGTACAGTGAAGAGAGGGCTGCAAAGCTGCAAAAAGGACGGTAAAAGTGGTCTGTATGAGATGCAATATTTTTTAATTCTTCTGAAGAAGCCTGATTGATTTGTTTGAGAAACCGAGACATTGAAATCCCTTGAATTAAAGATCTTGAAGATACTGTACATGAGATTTGAGAGTTATAGGTACAGTTTTCTGTGAGCATTGAGATAAATTTATAGTGTGCATGAGTCTTATGAACTACATTTATGGTGTAGTACTCTTTTTGGTTGCACAGAAAAAAGAAAGTCCTATGGTTTTGGAACGACATGAGTGTGAGTAAATAATGACAGAATATTCATTTTTGGTTGAAGTAACACTTTTACTCAATACAGCTTTTTTAATGCTGCTCTGTTTTCCCTAGAACATACCTGCAAACTCGTCACCTTTCTCTTTTGTCTTACTAATAAAGTAGTGATTATAAACACATAGGCGTCCCTAACCGCTGTATTTCTGCTTTCCCATAACGTATATAATCATTTATTAGCCTGTAACGTGAGGTTTATCATTTTCATTTTTGTCAGAACTTAAATAATTTGGACTGTAAAATGTTTAAACCATAGTTTTACGGTCATTTTAGAATTTAGGTTACTGTAAACAACGTGTAGTTCTATTCTAATATGGGAATTTTCCAATATGACTTCAACTGCTCATTCCAGTACATTTTTAGAAGAAAAATCCCCCTTTCCATTCTTTTGTCTGAATTTTTCAGGTATTCTAGAAACCATTGACCAATGCAGTCAGGCTCTACAGTCATGGAGGCCAATCCCAAGCCTTAAGAGATCCAAACACAGACCACTATAAAAGCTAGAAGGGTTGATACCTCCACATCCAGCTATGGCATAGATTGTGTATGGTTTACGTATATTTGTTTCAGTATGGAAAAAGACATTGTTTTTGCTTGTTTGTACATTATTTGCTATGGATATTTTTTACAAAAAGACCCAAAATATGAAAATGAGAATGCATGAGTCAAAACGACGATGTTCTCATTTGATATCGGCTCGAGGCACGTCGTCCAGCACATAGTAGCTATAAGTTAGGTTCTGATATATGTGTTGGACTTCCGAATCGGTCGTGCCCTCTTCCGGAACACATGGACGTAGTCATTGTTTTAGTCGTACAGTAGAGAAATTGTTTTGAACTCCTTAAAGCTATGCAAATCAAACCTGTGCTCACACTTCATTCAAACACACAAGCGGACACTTGCATTTTTTTTACAGTCTTCTGCTGTAGTTAACACTTTTATTGACTGAAGTTGAGATATTTCTGAGAATAAGATATATAGTTTGAGTAACTTTTAAAAGAAAGACCAAGACCAACTTGGATGCGTTCTGCTTCTGTTTTATAAGTTTCTTTTTTTCCCGTATTCATTTGTTGCCAAACTTGCATAAATTTCACCTTGTGTGCCATGGGAGGTTACTGACCACTCATCCTGTTAGGATGTTATTTAACATGTGTTTTAAATAACGAAATGGCCAGTTTAACCCCATAAAGAAAGAATCCCATGTTTGCTAGAATACATAAAATCATTATTTAAAGTCATATATATATACAAAGCTCATCGTTCTGAAAAGCGAGGTGTGCTGTGATTGGCCAGCTATCCAGTGCATTGTGATTGGCCGAATACCTCAAGCGTGTGACGGAAATGTTACGCCCCTACCATACTGTGATGCCGTGTCCCGGAGCGATGAGACAAAAACATTAAAACTCATTATAAACTAGGCATTTGTTGCATCCAGTGGGGACATAATTACGGATTATAATGACTTATACTGTCTTTTTACACGTTGCGTTGCATCACGCCGCGTAAACATAAAACCATGTCTGCATTTGTGATCGGAGAAATGACAAACAACAAGCCCTACTCTACACTGCCCAAAACTCGTGTTTGAATCGAAAAATAAAAACTTAAAAATAATAAAAACTTACTTACAGTCTGTGAGTCAGAACAGCCGGCATTGTAGTCTGCTCTCCCAGGATCAGGAAACAGTCCTCCATAAAATGTGCTGCACACATCTGAATATTTGGGTTGAACTGTTCTGGAACAGTGTTGTAAATACAACTTAACCACTGATTTCTAGTCGTGTCCTCTTTTGAAAAAGACCAAACAAAGTAGTTTCGCTTTCACAACGAAACACACAGTGCCTTCACGACATGGCGGCGGCAACAACAATACTACAGCGAGAATAAAAGTTACGCCTTCTTTCCTTGCGTGAATATTTGGGCGGCGTTATGCAAATCTTCCCAGATAGTGATGTAGGTATGTGGGGGCGTGTTAGAATGAGCCGTTTTAGGTAGGCGTGGTTAACTCTTAACTTTTATGAAGACTATCTCTTTGGATTTGAGACTTCAGTCTTTGCAACTTTACAGATCTTCTTTATGCACCAAGAGCTTGTAACACTCCAAAGAGAAAGGAAAAATTGAAATCGCATCATATGACCCCTTTAAAAATAACATCCTGGACTGTTCTGTAATACCAAATGTTGGGAGAATGATCAGAATGATCATCCACTTCATGATCTTTTTCCATCAGCCAGAGGTGAAAAAACTGGTCGGCTTCTTATATAGGAAGCAAAGTAATTTGACATTATTCAAAGCACGGACAAAACGTTCTGCTAGTTCTGCTATTCCTTTTGGTATTAGATTGTTTAATGAATATAATGTGAATGTTTAGTGTCCTTTTTTGCGATTGCACTTTTTTTTTTTTATCAGTTTTTATTTTTATTGTAGTGTGTAAATGGATGTATATGTGTGCATATGTATATTTTTAATTATTAATTGGTATAGTATTATTGAATATGTTTTGAATATCTGCTTTTATATTTCTTGGATTTTTTTTTCCTCTTGCAAATTTTATCTTTCAATGTACTTTCTGCAATAATTCAATCTCAGTATTGCTATGCAGAAAATTAAATAAACTTCAATGAGAGAAAATTTACCATAAATTTCAGTGATTGTTTGCCATGTCCCCGTTGCTTGAGCACTCATCCCGCATGAACTCTGATGATCTACATGCATTTCTGATGATCATGTTCTTCAGCATGATTTGAAAATGATCCAAAGAGCATCTGACCGCCTGTACAAAGCTGTTCACATGACCACTCTCACAAATCATGTAGAATCTCACGCTCAGTGTCTGATTATGCGAGGATAAATGTGACTGTAAAAAATGTATGATTAAATAAATTTTTATATTGCATTATTTTTATATAATACCAACGATATTATTTAAATGAAAAAAAAAAACTATGATTAAAAGTAAGTATGCATCAAAGACGATCACGATTTAAAAAATGAAAGAAAAAAAATTGCTAAAACATTGAATTACTCAGGTCTCAGGAGTAGGGATGTAACGATTAACCGCGAGCCGGTTGAAAATCGATTCAAGTATGTGACGATTCAAATCGGTTGAGATGCTAAACAAATCGCAATTAATTTAGGTGTAGGAGTTTATATGAATGTATGTCTGAGGGGAACTTACTGTCTTTTATTTTCTCTTTTCCTCTTGCCTCTGTATAACGCATATTAAATTTCATAAGTGCAGCGCTGCTTTGTTTACAGCGGAAACCAGGAAACGCTTTAAGCGCCACCTGCTGGCAGAGAGTGCATCTGCGTCTCGTTCAGCTCGTCTCTGCTGTTTCGGTTTCATGCAGATATTTTTATGTAAGTCAACACATTCTGTTTTTGCTACAAATTTCGAAATGATACAATCTAATTTAGATTAAAAATTGCTCATGTTGCATGCATGCAGCATCTTTGTTTGGATCGTGATTAAAATGCTCTAATTTTAAATGGAAAGAGCACAGACAAAGCCTTAGTTTGATTATATGAAGAGATTTATTTTATGTGTGTTACTTATTTATTTTATTTGGAGCTTGTTTTAAAATTTCAATGTAGTTTTGTTATTTAGCAGACGCTTTTATCCAAAGCGACTTACAAATGAGGACAATAGAAGCAATCAAAACCAACAAAAGAGCAATAACGCATAAGCAAGTGCTATATTAGTATAGTGTTATATTTCAATTTCACTAAGAAATGTGCAGCATTCTGTCCAAGCAATAATAAAAGGACACATTTAATTTATAATTTGTCTTAAATCTCATTTTGTAAAATCGAATCGAATCGTGAGTTGAGTGAATCGTTACATCTCTACTCAGGAGGATAAATGTGCGCGTTATTAACATGATTTGCAATTGACTGCAGGAGGAGCACATGAGTGTGAATGAGTGAAGGGGAAGGCGGTCTGGCTGCATATCTGAGTGACTGCGCAGAGCAGACGCCTCTAAACACTACTTCTACAGAGACAGAGCTGATTTCGACAGTGTGCCGTCCTCACACCAGCCGCTCCGCGAGAGAAGAATCTCACAAGTGCGCGGCCGGCCTCTTCCGTCTCCAGCAGCTCGGGACTCTTTTACGCGGATAAACGATGGCTTACCGCGCGCGATTCCCACTCAAATCACCAGAGACTGTCTCGCCCGTGCTTACAGGGCGTGTTTGTTTAATCTGATACGGAGGAAGATGCTTAAATCCTCTCCTGCATGCCTGGAATTTTCTGCTGGGAACAGAAAGTGGGCGTTTCTCCCCACACCGAAGCGCCGGGGGATTCCTGCGAGTGCCGCAACTTGCAGTTTCAAGTGAGGCAACATGCAGTAAGTTCAGATGCGCAGTTATCTAAGGGTTAATAAAATCAGCATTGATATGATGAAGATGCGCCTGGATTTATAAGATAAGGTTAGTGAGCGATATATATGCGGGTCGAGATGGCACAGGAGAATGTGTATGATAACCGCAGCATAGTGGTGAAGTACATCCAGCATAAGCTCTGGAAGAGGGGATACGTGTGGGACGTGGACGGACACGAGGACAGCGTCTCGAATGGACTGATGATGGAGAGGCGGGAGGACCGCGGCATCTCTCCCAGCTCCCGTCACGACCCGTGCAGGGCTCTTCAGAGGGTGCTGCGGGAGGCCGGGGATGAACTGGAGCGGCTTTATCAGTCGGACTTTGCGGAGATGTCCAAACAGCTGCATCTCACGTCCATCACGGCGCACCAGCGCTTCACCGCGGTCATAGACGAGCTGTTCAGGGACGGCGTGAACTGGGGCAGAATCATCGCTTTTTTCGAGTTTGGAGGGACTGTTTGTGTCGAGTGCGTGAGTAAGGAGATGACGGCGCATGTGGATAACATTGCGGGCTGGATGACAGAGTATCTGAACGGGCCGCTGCACGGCTGGATCCAGGAGAACGGCGGATGGGTATGTAATTAACTCAATATATAGCTCACGTCCGAAGACGCAGGGTCGCCTCTATTCCCTGCGTCATGCGTTCGAAGCGTTGCGCGCTCTCCGATTGGCCGGTAGCGCTGTTCGTTAAAACGCACCGGCCAATGAGCGGCGGCGGTTTGTCACACCCCTCTCACGCCTCCGCGGTGAAGCCGTCAATGACAGCTGCAGTCTGCAGAGCTGAAGGTGTGGTTCTCCTGTGCAGAACTTTCAGGAGCTGCTGTTGATTCATGCAAACAGGAGGATGTTTAGTCTTGTACAACGACCAGATATATGAGGTCTGATACTTACTCACCAAATCATGTGCTTAAATTGCTCCGGGCTATTCCTGTCCTGAGTGCAGTGGCTCAGCTCGTGATTAGACACGTGTGAGACTGTTCAAACAGAAATGAACGCCATAATATTTTTTTTCTGCCTTGGTCGGTGTACGTGGAATAGCAGAATTCTAAATTTTGCAGTGCTGTGTATTTTGGTGGTTCGGAAGGGTTGGTTGGCATGCTTTTCCTTTTTTGTTGAGCATCTCTGGTGAAACTGACTGTAACATAACCCTAGAAAATGCAAAGGTTAAAGGGATCATATGATGCGATTTCATTTTTTCCTTTCTCTTTGAAATGTTACAAGCTCTTGGTGCATAAAGAAGATCTGTAAAGTTGCAAAGACTGAAGTCTCAAATCCAAAGAGATATTCTTTGTAAAAGTTAAGAGTTAACCACGCCTACCTAAAACTGCTCGTTCTAACACGCCCCCACATGTCTACATCACTATGTGGGAAGATTTGCATAACGCCGCCCAAATGTTCACGCAAAGAAAGAAGGCGTAACTTTTATTCTCGCTGTAGTATTGTTGCCGCCATGTCGTTAAGATGCTGTGTTTTGTTGTGAAAGCGAAACTACTTTGTTTGGTCTTCCAAAAGAGGATGATATCGCTTCGTCATGCCTGGAGCTGATCCGTGCTGGTCGCTGAGGGAATACATCAACTTCGCGCTGTGGATCACCGGATCGGCTTTCACCGTGGACGAAGCGGAGTCCAGCCCGGGGTCGTCACATGTGGTTGCCGCAAGCCTCCTTCATCGAATCCGCCGGCCATTCTCAAGCCCGCCGCCGCTGCTCACTCTAGGCCGCCATGTGTGACCCTGTGTTTCATTGTAAAAGCGAAACTACTTAGTTTGGCCTTCCAAAAATGGACATGACTAGAAATCAGTGGTTAAGTTGTATTTACAACACTGTTCCAGAACAGTTCAATCCAAATATTCAGATGTGTGCAACACATTTTATGGAGGACTGTTTCCTGATCCTGGGAGAGTAGACTACAATGCCGGCTGTTCTGACTCACACATTGTAAGTAAGTTTTTTATATTTAAAGAGTTTTTATATTTTTCATATTTAAAGCGAGTTTTTTGGGCAGTGTAGAGTAGCGCTTGTTGTTTGTCATTTCTCCGATCACAAATGCAGACATGGTTTTATGTTTACGCGGCGCGATGCAACGCGTAAAAAGACAGTATAAGTCATTATAATCAGTAATTATGTCCCCACTGGATGCAACGAGTGCCTCGTTTATAATGGGTTTTCATGTTTTTGAATCATCTCTCCGGCCGTGATTTCAGCACTTGAGGTATTCGGCCAATCACAGCACACCTTGCTTTTTCAGACCGATGAGCTTTAGTAGCTAGCTATTGAAATGACTTAGATTTAAGTGATCGGACACATCGTTTTCTATATGAACGATGATTTACTCACTCGACCAGTGGATCCCATTTCTGCCTAAATATCATTTAGCTTTTGACATTTCTCAGTGACTAGAGATGCTTATAAGTGACAGTAAATGTCCCGTGTCAGTGTCTGTCCCATGTCAGAGGTGTATATGAAACGTCATGACCTCTAAACAATGTGCTGATAATGTTCTTTTTAGCAAGATCATATGACCCCTTTAAATTATTGGGTAAAAATTCAGTCTTACACAATATTTTCTCAATTTTGTTAGGTCATGACTTGTGCGATCATGCTAACCACCTCCAACACAGTATGTTTGGGTATGCAACAAAATAGAAGATACAAGATATTTTTTTATATTAATATTATTCATTTTTTATATGATTTATTCATAATTAACCTTTTTAGTAATATTTTAAAATGAAGACTTTGCAAGGAAGTTATTAGCAAGAAGGAGGAAGAGAAGGATAACATGACTTGAAGCTACTGTAGAGAACTGAATTTAGTCTTTTCTAGCTATGTTAGGTAAGATTTGAATGCGGAGTCAAACACGGGGAGATTTTCTGGGTTGTTTGATCCCAATAGGTTAAACGTGGCTCCTTTCAGGATATGCGCCACTATAAAACACATTCATAAAACCATTCCAACAGTAATAGTGATGCAACACTTTTCATAAAAATGGACAATATGAATGATTTACAACTCCGTTCTGATGTTCAGAATATCATAGAACCATTCAGTGGCATATAATAGGTATACTATGCACAGTATGCTGATTTTCTCCATATGACTTATTACATTTAGTAAAAAGTGTGGTATACCACCAAGATCACTGCTTCCCACAATGCAATGTGCTTGATTTGACCTTTCATTTTCAGAGTGATGAATGAACCAATAGCAGAGTGTGGGAGTCTTTGGGAATTGTTTTAGAAAACAATTCCATTTAGTGAAGAAATTACACACTTCACCTATATTGTTGATAATTCTGCATTCAATTAGAATAAAAGTGCAAAAAAATCAAATCAAACATGCTACTAATGAGTTGATGTATCTGTTTGTAAGAATACTGAGTAGTAATCTAGCATGCCATTCCGTTTCAGACTTTCCAGTATAAGGAGGAGCTCAAGAGACATGTTGCTTTTTTTTTTGAATGGCATTTCAGAATATGACCTTTCAATAATGAACTCGCTTGAACTGTAAGGTGACAAACATAAATGAGCGGGAACTTGTGGTTTGGTGCAGGACCTCATCCAGAACTTCCCCTCATTCATTCACTCCAGTTCCATTCTGTCTCTACATCTCTCTTCTACTACTGCAGACTGCAACATTATTATAGTTAGTTAGTGAGTTAGAACAAAGACTTAATGTGGAAGTGCATAATTCAAAGCACTGTGTCCTGAGGGTATTCATCAATAATTCATAGGCTGTATTTCATCTTTAAGGAAGAAAAGTTGAATATTCCCCTAGAGTCCTGACCTTTTGAAATTGGAAACTACTTACACATATCAAAGAATTACACCCTCGCTGACCTGAACGTCAGCAAAGAGTCTTTCTATTTACGCATTTCTTTCCATTCATGGCTCTGAAGTAGGCCAGCATGCTTCAGAGCAATGTAACATACGCCTGAATCATTCTGACAACTGCTTGCATTATCCAACAGTGGAAATACTGCAAATGAGAGAAACCCTGCTACTGTAGCTAGCTATTGAAATGACTTCGATTTAAGTGATCGGACACATCGTTTTCTATATGAACGATGATTTACTCACTCGACCAGTGGATCCCATTTCTGCCTAAATATCATTCAGCTTTTGACATTTCTCAGTGACTAGAGATGCTTATAAGTGACAGTAAATGTCCCGTGTCAGTGTCTGTCCCATGTCAGAGGTGTATATGAAACGTCATGTCCTCTAAACAATGGGCTGTTACAGTAGATTAAGTGTTTCATTCACTGCCATGCAAACATGAGTACAAAGGGAATGCAAGCATAGTGTGTTTTGCTATTTTGCTATGCACAAAAGTTCATGCAGAAGATAATTGACCTATAGACCTTATGCATCAGAGAAACGTGCACAGCCATCTTTAGAATTCTGTCTTTGAACTTCAGTTTTTTTGCGGTAGTTGACGAGTGATTAGCTGGTAAAGTGGATTTACTTTTTGTAGAGTTAACAAGAGTTATCATGTGCATTGGAATGTTCGAAGCGGATGTCATAACAAATGTCAGTAGACCAGGAAGATTTGAAAACAAACAGTTCATTCATAAATCC